TCTATCTATCTATCTATCTATCTATCTATCTATCTATCTATCTATCTGATTAATTCCATTCATATCTCCATCCCCGCCTATGAAAATGTGTAACTTAGATCTGTATCTTGGTTGCTGTTCACTGTTTATGTTTCCATGACAAATGAAAAACAATAACAACAACACAGTCATGTTATTCATCTTCAAAAAACTGAAAAGAAATTCACTCCCCGGGCTAAAAAAATGCCACAGACTGGATTTAACTGGTGAATGAACAGCATTTATAAAGTGTTCCAGCTGAAAACAAGTGATTGGACACAACAGAGTGGCTACTATGTGTTGACCTGCTCTGTGGGGATCTGCCTCTTGGTCATGAGAGGAACGAAAAACCAGAAAAAGCAGAAGTGGATCTGATCCCAGGACACAACGCACTGCAGAGGGTCATGTGTTTCCCCTCAGCCAGTGGCGCCGCGGTACGCTTCTCTCTGTCAGGGATAAGTTCGGCCATCGCAGACTTTAACACTTGCGAGAACCCATGAGAGGTCCTGGAAATATTTCCTCCAGCTGTCGGGCTCTAATATCAAGTAACTGTAACTCAGGACGGAAATAAACATGAGAATATTGTGCAGGCTTATTGAAAGTATGCCACCCTGAACGGGAGCTGAAGTCACAGCTAAAGGATCTACTGTCTGTGCTTTAGGACCTTGAGTAGGATGGGAAAAGGTCTAAGTGGTCAGCACCACATGGGGAGAGGGTAACAGGTACTTCCTGTTTCTGGGAAGGTTTTACAGCTCACTTCACTTTAAACACGTTAAGCTTCTCCTTGGAGTTACAGCACATGTGAGGGCCGACCGCCTCCTGGATGGAGAAACTTCACCTCCAGTGAACCCTCCCACGGTTACAGGTACACAGTTCCTACTAACTCACATGAATGAAATTTAAAGGCTCATCTGCAAACTACAGATTCAAAACCTCTACAGAGAAGCACACCTGCAAAAAGGCCCATGAGGAAAATGAAAAGAGGATTTAGAAATGTAACGCAGCCATAGAGACACCATGACACTAAAATAATTAATTCAAATGGACCAAAAAGCTACACACCTTAAACAGGAGGTGTGATAGAAGTGAAACAGCCCCTCCCATGTCAGAGGGGAAGTGGGGGGGGGTTCTGGGTGGGGCTCCTGCCTGTGGGTGAGTCCGCACTGGGACTTAACTGCTTTAGAATTTATCCCCAAAATGCTCAGAAGCTTTTTAGCAAAACTTTTCTGTAGTTGTGTTGCCTGTTTTCCTTTGGTATCTTTTCTCTTTTGCCCCCCCCCCCGGGCTGTCTGCTGGGAGGTGGCTGCCTGACCTGTGGCGCAGTACCTGGAAGATTCCTACACAGCCCCACCCTCTTCTCAGTCAGTGCTGACTTAATTTTAGTACACTTAGTTTCTAACCTTTAGTAGAACTGGATGAAAATGACCCTTTTTAACTTATAGCTGATGTAAGCTGTGCTGTGTGAGACTTTCAGGGCAGCGTAGGAGCTTCCTACTGTTTGGAGAGTTGGGCTGACTCTCATCCTGGCCTCTACTTAGATGATTCTGGGTCATCTGACTTTGTTAGGAAGGCTCCTAAATAGAGCACAGGACCCCAGGAGAGCCGGCTCCTGCTTTCTGGCAGGCCAGCTGAGTTTCCACTTCTTCCTCTCAGGCGTCACCAATCGTTTCTTACCTGGGGGGCTCTGACATGTCATTCTCCTGTCAGATTAGCCCTCCCAGCCTGGAAAGCCTTTGGGGAAACGTTTGAGTATCTTATAAATAAACCTTTTGAAAGTATTGACTTTGCCTTTGAGATCCTCATAACTCTGTCTAAAAGCCTAAGTCTGATATTGAAGGGTTATTTAGGTTTTTTTCCTCCAGTTTTGTCATTTGGAAATAAAGCAGGTTGAAGAATTCAGAGTTCAAAAATGTATAAAACAATATTTACAATAAATCCACACCCAGTTACAAAGTGAGCCTTTTATTGAGATTCATAACCAGTTGTATGGTATGCCTGAGTCTGCAGCCCCCCCCCTCACATCTGGACAGGTCAGAGCTGGACTCCTTTATTTACAGCAGTGTATCGTACATCACTAGAAACAAAAAGGCTGCGCATGCTTCAGTCTCACCTTCCAGTAAAGTTGTCACAACTCAGTCATGCTCAAGTACAGTACCTCTGTTAAAGTCTGTGAGTGAAAAAAGAGGGTGGGGGGGCAGCTACAAGTTCTTCTGAAGGAATCATTTAAATTGTCCGATACTCAAATTTCATGACACCTTTTACTTATGCATTTCCAGATGAGTGTCAGTGTTGATGATTCTTTCCTGACCAGGAATATCCGCGTTCCTGATATGTGATGCGGAACACCTCCACCCTCCAATAAAAGACCTCATTCCACCTCAGTCTCTTCCCACTGCACGGCCACATCTGGATACATGAATCTTTTTTTAAACAAAACTCAGCAACAGAACACAAAGTGCCATCAGTAAAAAGTGATGGATGTCAGCAGTGGAGTTCTGTGAGGCAAACACAAACTGGTCTCTGATACCCAGAATGCTCAGTATGTCATAGAAAACACACACATATCAAAACGCAAAGGCTTCAAAAACGAAGGCAAACTCCTCAGCTCCTTATTACATCGTTAAAAAAACAAACCTCAAACCTAAAGAGAACATTCCAGGAGAGCTTCCGCATGTCTCCTTGATAATAAATACCAGAGTGTATAAATAACAATACAAAAGATTGCATGAAATAAAAGCTGGGGATGCAACAGAATCCCGGCTTCACAGCTGGATTTACACAGATGTGGGCTGGAAGCCTCACCACCCGACCAGTGCAGGACTAAACCAAAGACAATCATTCAGAGATAAGAAACTGGAAAGCTTTGTTCAGTAAATATTCATGTCTGTTGTAGTCCAAAATTTCTGTCGTTTTTGGTACACCGTAACCACATAAATAGAATTTCATCGCATTTATCGTAGCAAGACAATAAAATAAAGCACTATTTACCCCCGTTGTTACAACACAATTCTGAAAACTTCTGAGAAGACATACTCTTTTCCATATTTCTTTTACACAGTGACAGAGTTTACGTAATGCTTCATTTGTATGCCTACATCTGTACACGCCCACCACTGTGTGGCTTAGCAAAGGTTTAGATTGTCTCTAAATATTTCGGCCTTTGGATGGATTAGCGGGAGGAACTGAGCTGAAGACCGGATTCAGGCCGGTAAGTCAGAATTAGAAATATAACTTTAAATAGTACTTTCCCTTGATTCTTTAGCATCAATGTTCTGCTTTATTAGCAAACCTGATTTGATTTCAATTAAAAAGGCATGTGTGTGATCTTATATAAGGTAGCAGGAGAACTAGTTTTACATCGGAAAATTGAACTTTTTTCAGCTGTAAATTGGACCTACACTGGACTGCTTACTCCAAAGTCCATAAGAAGCTACTTTCACATTTAATTTCTTCCATAAAACAGCAGCATTACACGTCTTAAGCCACCTCAGACTTCTCTTTTTTTCTGGGTTTATCTGCTGTCATTATAACATGAGGAGCTCAGAGGTACTTATATGAGAAGATATAAATGCACCTTATTTAAACTGCTGAATGAATCTCTTTATAAATAATCTGAACCTTCTAAACCTGGCGATGCTTGATCTTTTTTCCTTTTTTAATGGGGAGGGGATGTCAACAGGCTGATGTCAGCTATTGTACCTTCACTGCTGCGCTCACCAAACTCTGAGCTTGTTTAGCTGCTTAGAAGTCGGACCAACTAGCACAGAAAAAAGGCTGAGCCACTATTTTCCTTTTTGTCAAACCCAAAGCCTGCAGGACCCAGAAATAAGAAGCAACACTCACAGTTCAGTTATGGCCGATTTCCCTTTGAGTGTTTGTTCTGAATTCAGGTTTTGTTGTTTTGTTAAGAAAAATCCTTTTCACACAAATGAAAAAATCAAACCAACAACACTTGGTAAAGTCACCAGAAGATGCTGGGTGTAAAATCCCCCCGACTTGTTCAGAGTGAGACGACACAAAAACCATGAAATGATTCTGTTCTCCAAACCAAAAGAAATAACTAAATGGGACTTTCCTGATGTCAGGCTTGAGACCCACTTACTCCACAGGCCAAATTTGAGGCAGTTCGTAACAGAGGCACAGTTTCATTACAGGGGAAAGTGTGAGCAGAGAATCAGCCGTCCTCCAGGAAACATCTCAGATCCGGTCAGAAGGCTGGAGCCGCGTGGTGACCGTTGCATATGTTATACTGGCTTATCCAAGGTCCCCTACACCAGGCCAAGACCTGTTCAGGGAACTGCTGCCGTCAGCCAGAACTTTGGAGGTTTGCATGCTGTTTGTGGCCTGTCGGGTGCCGGTCACCATGGTGAGAAGACCGCCCGCTGTGGAAGACTTGAACAAGAGTACCAGCAGTTCCCATTCAAGCACAGACCAGAGGAGCCTAAAGCTGAAGGAGCACTTTGACCACCAGGATCCAGATACAGTTGTCTTCAGCCAGCTCGAGGATGCAAACACCAGAGCTTCTGCCTCCATTCTGTTGGACAAGATGGCCGCCGTCCTCCCAGCAGGGGTGTTAGCTTCAAAAAGCTGCAGAGCCGAATACCCGAGAGGAGCTATGGAGTCTTTGATATTGCTGTCCGCTCAAAGCCAAAGCCTGTGTCTGGCTAAAGGGCAGAGGCAGCACGGCCAGCTGCTGTTCCAGATGTGGGCCTTCCTGCTCAGCGTTACTGAGCTGACACAGCTGCTGCTGCTCACATTTTCAGGAGACATGTTGGAAACTTTTGGGGGCTCTGCTATATGCTGTAGTTTTGCAGTTTTGGTTCTGGATCTGCTGAAAATGTAGACTTCCAGATGAAATCTATCTCAGCTTTGGCTTGCTGATACTGGTGTGTCCTGTCTGTATCACATCTGCAAAAATCCAATAGTCAGGCATCCGTTTTAGGCCTCTTTTGTCCCATTCATTAGCCCTCTGGATTCAGCGAGCCATCCTCACACACTTTACCAGAATATCTACCAGTTTGGGTGGAATCTATCTGTAAGCCACTAACTCAAGAGTGAATTCACATAGTAAATGATCCTCAGAATTTGCAGAAGGCCTTAAAAGCATCAGTCTTAGTGTCTTTAGATGACTTCTTCTCTGCTGAACATTGAGGGGCTGGAACCTGAACCTGTGCTCTGTGGTTTCTTTAATCATCATCCTTTATTGGCTTTTACCCAGTAAAAGGACTGCCGGGTGCCTGCTCAGTGCACCATCATTTGGGTCTTTTCTGTATCAAAAGGAGTCTCCAACAGGCACTGAGATGATAACTGTGGTGGATATCAGTCAAATCCGGTCCTTTCTGTGGAACCTGAACATGACGATCTTTGATTGGATTTTCCATCAGGTCCTGTTTCAGTCACTGGAAGAATGATGCATTTTGGTGCATGCAACAGGTGATCTGGATATTAAGCCCTCTCTGTGGGCCCACCAGTGTAGGGGCAAACAGCCCCTGCCCCGAATGATTGGTAGAAAAATGCCTGTAGTCCTGCTGTGTGTCCTCAGTGCTGGCTGGAGTCAGAACCATCCTCAGAGCTAATTAACACACAGAACCATAACAGTGACGCACATCTATCCACACCACCAAACTCTGTCCAACACAGTTCACAAATCTTTAGGACGCCCTGAGGCCCCCAGGGCAGCTTCCCTCCCTAACTGAGGTCCACAGAGGGGCCGGTGGTGAGTCTCACTCCAGACCAAACGTGCTGGTTTCCTCCACGGCGATCAGCAGCTTCTCGTACAGGATGGAGTAGGAGGGGTATGGAGGCAGGTCCAGCCGGTTAAAGCAGGTGTGGGCCCTGAAACGGAGACAGGCAAAAGCATTTCCATGCGCTCTGACAGGCAGGAGGATGGAGGGTCAGCATTAACTCCAATCATGCCAACAGCCAGGACTATAAACAGAGAAAACAGGCATTAACAAAAGGATGGATGGGTAGCTGTTTAGCTGAAGATCTCTAGGGGAGTTCCTGCTATTAGATTGCTGTCATGAGATCATTTTGTTAAGTGGATGGTTTCTAGTTGAGCAGCTTTATTGTGTAAGTGGGGCCTCGGGGGCTGTTGGGGCTGTTGGGGCCGTGGGGGCCGTGTAGGACGGGGCTTCTGCCGTTCAGTGCTCAGAGAGGTAACCTGGTCCTCTGGACATTGGATGTGTAGATTACTGGCATATATGAGGAAAGTTTAAGGTCTAGTCCCTGGCTCGAGCCCCCGGGGGTTAATCTGAAATAGCTCGGACACACAGACACCACGTCTAACTGGAAAAGACATGTCAATCCTCAATCAATAGAGATCTCTTTTTTTTTTTTTAGAGACTTGTGAAAAGTATAGAGAACTCATCCAAATGTCGACTTATAGCAAATCATTAGATTTTCTTTCATTGGCAAGTTTTAGTTGTTTTCTATCATCTTATATTTGAGCTCTTTGTTCGTTTTTGGATTCATTTGTTCAGCCCTTTAGTCAGTTGCTGCTGTTTTTTTTTTTTTGATGAACCTACTAAGACTGATTTTATATCTCTTCTAACCGTTTAACAGTTTTTTTCTGATTCTGAAGGAAAACACCCCTTCCTTTTGGCCTGTCATGTAGATGAGCTGTAGCCCAGCTCAGCTCACAAAGCGTACGCTGTGCAGCGGACTGTATTCCATTATCTCCTTCATGCCTGCAGTTTGATCATATAAACATCATTAGTGAAGAACCAGGCTTCGGATTTCCGCTGTGCAGTCTTTGCTCTCTGAATCTTCAACAGGGAGCACACAGAAGAGGTTTGCTTATCGGTGACTGATGTGAATAGCTGTGGTCTAGAGGTGTTTTCATTTAAAGCAGAATATGATGGATGTACTCAGAGGGGCATGTCTGAGTTGTGTGGGTGGAGATTCATGTTCAGGTTCATTTGTGTGGCAGCTTGAGTGGCGTCTTCATGGCTACTGCATTAAATTGTCAAGAAGAAGCCCAGATTCAGGGCAACACACTGACACACACTGTATGACACAGTGTCAGCTGCTACCATGTCAGTGAGTCCTCAGTCAGTTCTTCAACAGGAAAAAAAGATAATCATTAACCAGCGTCCCTTTAAAGCTCGACTGGTTTAACTTATTTGGGAGCTCCTTGTTTTCAGAAGCCAGGCTGATATGGATCCATGGCTCTGTCTGAGGCACTGAGGGTTCATCTGTCCCTCCCCAGCCTGACTGCCGGGTTACCATGGTAAGGAGAAGCTGAGAGAGAAGACCCAGGAGAAGCCCACCCTCAGGAAGAGCTGGCTCCCCACCCCTGAAACTGACTGTCTTTCATTAGGAATGAGAAGACAGAAGCTGTGAAGCAAAAATCTATACGAATCAAATCGTGTTTAAGTTATTTTTGTTCATAAAGCCTTAGGAAACTGTGTTAACTTGCATAACAGGTCTGCTTTTCTCTGAATGTGTTAAATGGAACAGTTTTCTCTTCAGTTTGAGCTATGGTTCTGTATTTAGCTGAATAGCTGAGCCCCTGCAGCTGCACCTGACTGAGAGAGAGCCCGGGCATACCTGGGTAGTGACGTGACTTTGCCCCACTTCTCGATGCAGAAGCGGCGGAGGCCGTTGGAGCCCCGCAGGGCGGCGAAGCCCTCGTAGGGCACGCTGGAGGTCCCGGTGACGAACTGCAGCAGGCGCAGCCGCTGCTCGTTGTTGAACCTCTCCACCGCTGCCCAGAACCAGCGCATCACGATGTGGCCGTCATGGTAGCCTGCAGGAGGGTCAGGGAACATGAGACTTAAGTGGGAATGCAAACGGTGTGGAATAAAAATCTAATTCAGCGGCACTTAGTCTGTCAGCGTCAGGCTAAGCTAGCTGTAGCAAAGAAGAGCGGAGGCTTGAGTCTGACACACACCCCCTCTGTACTCGGTGTTGCTCCTCCAGTCACTGAGGTCAATCTCTACCGTCCCGGCGATGACCAGCTCCAGCTCCCGGGCATCAAACACGGACACCAGCCTGGAGTCCACCACCTGAGGGGGGCAAACACTTATCTTAAGCCACTGTTAGCTCTCAACATGGACTCTAACGTGGAGCCTTTTGTTTTTTTGGCAGGTGTGTGTCAAACGTGTACCTCATAGAAACCTCTGACCAGCGCCTCGGTCTGCTGCACCACCCCCCTCTCCACCCTCCACTTGGCCATTCGCTCGATGTAATCCTTCTTGTTCTTCTCAGTCACCTGCAGGTTGGAGCCACCGGACTTCAGCTCCCGCTCTGTCACCTGGTGAAACGGTGCAAGAGGAACCGTGCTCAACAACTAAATTCAGTGAGGCTGGCATTTTTTTTAAGCTAGGTTAAAAAAACAAGCAGTGTGTTTGAGTCCAGTCCCTAGACTGTTCCCAGATTTAAATGAAGTCTTTTCTTTTTCACCCACAGAACAAAAAAAAAGGATGTTGTGCTGAACAAATACCTACAGAAGCTCCAATAACAACATAGTACCACAGTACACTCCACACAAATGATGGGTTAAAGGTCCTGTAGTAGCATCTTCTGCTTTATTTGCAGTGCTAAAATTATGTTTTAATCATCCCCCACAATGTCACACAAAGCTTGAACAAAAGAGAAATTTTACAAATTTTCAGTACTTCTATGTGGATGGAACCCGTTTTTTTCATTTATGGTGAAATCCTCATAGTGGTGTGGATTCATGGGAGAAAGACACATATTCAAAGCGGACACCAACACAAGGAATGAGAGATTCACTAAAACTTGAAATTATTGGTTTAGTTTGAGAGAGGAGGTTGACCCTTTTCATTGGGTCATTTCTTTAAATCATACAGCATCCAATAATGCTTTTCCACTAGTGCCTGTTTAGCCTGACGGCTCAGTTTTTTCTGCATTCCCATTAGGCTGGCACCTCTTAACGGTAACAGTTTTAACACCTACTCAACGTGGGTTAAAAGCTGGGAGGGATGAAGCCCTCTGGTTAAGAATGCCCCCACCTTTTCCAAACTGTGGTGACCACAAACGTCCGGTTTAATCATTTCTGTGATCATCAGCCCAGTAAATGCCCAAAACAGACAACAGTTCAGCTGGTGTCACATACAGATGACATCACAGGTAAGTGAGCCTCTCTTTCTGTTGGGACCTTATTTGTGATGGAAAACCACCTAAGCCCAGCCCAGTAGGGCAGAGGAGGTACTGATAGAAAACCCCCATGTCTCCTATGGCTTTGCTCTGGTCATCATCTCTTTCTGTTAGGACTCTGGTCATATCTGGTTTGAAGCCATGCTCACCTGGCCAAAGACCTCTTCGTTCACGGTAAAGGTGAGATCCAGGATGTCCGTGATGTCGTTGTCTTTCATCCACTGCAAAGACTGGTGGAACTCCTCATCCAGGTACTCCAGGTCTGACAGGTCCGTTGGCCTGCACCACACACACAGGTCACACTTCCAACCCACCAGGCCACAAGGGGCTAATACAGAATATGTGTGCTCAGTTTCATGTCAGTGAATTTATGATACCACAGTGATGGAAATTTTCTTTGTGTATAAATTATTTAGGAGAAAGAAAAAAACACCTGTTTTAAACTTTTCAAACAGGAGTTTTTCAGGGTGTTCTCAGGATGTTCAGGGAAATGATGCACTTGACATGAAACTGGAGATAAATGAGTAGTGAACGTGTCTTTAGTGTGAACGGGTATGAACTTACAGCCTGAGCAGAGCCTTGTAGAACGGCCGGGTAAAGAAAGCATCTAACAGGTACTGATGGATCAGAGCCAGGCCCAGAATACGACCACTGAAACGGAACCTGGAGACACACACTCACAGGCTTTAGAATAAATACACTCAACTCACTGGTGATTTTAGACTGTGGTTTCATCGTTTATTTAGCTGGAATTCCTGCAGTTTCAAACAACGTCCTGCTGGATAAGCCTTCACACCAGACCCGACACTTCTTTTAACTGGGGCCTCTAAACTGAAATAAAGGCTGGGATTATGCTTCACACGAAGGGCTGAGCTTCATAGGATCCTGACCATGTCAATTCTTACAAAATCTTGAGACACCCTTCGGAGCATTTTCCATCTGAATATCAGAGTGTCAGTCCCTTGTGAACCAACCTGGAAGTTTTCAAATTTCAGTGTGTGCTCCCTGATTTTACAGTCAAAACCCTAACAATCTGAAAATTCTAGAAACACAATGTTATTATGTGTGTATGTGTTTATTTGGCTCACCATTCCAAATGGTTCTCAACAAATGCCGACATGGGGCTGATCTGAACAGTATATGTGTCATTTGCAGAGTATTCAAACAGACCATAGTACGGGTTAAAGAGCTCTTGAGACAGGAGGAAGAAGAACTCCCTGGAAGGACCACTGTAATCTAATCTGAGGAGACAAGACAGGATACAGTTCCAATTAAATTCACAAATATGTGACAAGTTGCTCATGAAAAAAACCCCCCATCACATTCACACTGAAAAAACAAGCTGTGAATTCATTTCCTAAGTTGATCTTAAAGACACACACCAGGAGCATGATCATTCTGGGAACCACAGGAAGTCCAGCAGATGGTCAGGCATGTGACACCTGCCACTGCTCAGAACTCACACTGTGACCAGACTGGCAGCTTTAACCTCACAGGGACAGCGGTGGTGCTAGCATAGCTCCAGTGTGTGTGTGTGTGTGTGTGTGTGTGAATTACCCTTCTTCCCCCAGGAAGGTGACGTAGAGCTTGTTCCTCTGCAGTTCTTTGCGAGAATAGGCCATCACCTGGTTAAAGGTTCCTTCCAACAGGTGTTCTCTCCTGATTAGCAACCTGAAACAGGCAGGAGGCACCAATCGTAAATCCTACTCTGATCTGCCGGCATTCGGCCTGATTTTGAGGCCACAGTGAGTGTCCGGCCTTACTTGATCTTGCCTGGCCCCTGACCATAGCCTTTGGCTTCTAATTTCCTGTAGAAGTTTCGAAGTTTGGCTTCAAAGTCTCTGCGGTAAGGAGCTGGAGCCCTGGCCCTCTGCAAGCCTGCACACACACACACACACACACACACACACACACACACACATTACTCTGTTACAAACGGGACACACCATTAGACTTACAATAGCTAATGGCAATGCATGGATCCTTTTGAGAATGTAAAAATATGGAAAAAGTGACTTATTTATAGACAGTTGTAATTTGGAAATCACAAAAACATAGGAAGAGATTAAAGTAGGTCAGATTAGCCTCTTCTTTGTAGATGAAAGTGTTTAGACCAACACCTTCAGCCGCAGCATTACTGCTGATCTGCAGGATTCATATCACAAACTTATTTCATCTGCCACCTGGCACTTGGCAACATGTGTAGTGGGAAAAAGCAGGTATTGTGTAAAAGAGTGCCTGCTGACCCTTTATGCAAACGTCAGAAACCATACTGGGGCCCAGCGTGCGTCACTTCCATGTCATTTACCAAATAAATGAGTCCACAGAACGGTGAATGAATTAACCATAAGGTTGAACGTTACAGCCGTTGCAGCTTGGGTTGAAGCCCAGCCAGTATTTGTTCTCACAGTGGAACAGGGTAAGACTTTAAACTGGTTTGTGATTTCGTCCCTCGTACAAACGCTGGCCAATACTCATTATGACTGAGCGACAGATACAGAATCACAGACTCTGGGTCAAAGAGTCTGTTTAGTACAAAGGAGGTTTCTCTCCAATCGGCAGTGATGTCAGATCAGACTGTGTTCATGATGGCCGTGGTTTGGAATGGGTGTCTTTTAACCGTTTTTCTAGGTCACGTCTGCACAAACACAATAACACAGCAAATAAATGATGGACAATTACAGCTCCGAGCTCCCCTGCTGTGACCCAATTCCCTTTTATAGAACCATCAATAGCATGCACACCTATACACACTCACACACACATTACTTATGGGCTGCTTGAGGTCTACTGGAGTTCATCATGAAGTTATGACAGGAGCCCGTCAAACGCTGAAGACTGCAGTTGTCAGGATTGGAACTCGAGGCAGGACCCAGATGCAGAGATCGTTTTTACGGTTTTAATGAACACAAGGCGCACTCACAAGGAGTGGAAACAAAGTACCAAAAAAATACTGACTCTAATGAGGCGGACAAAGCTGTGAACAAAGTATCAAATAAAGTAAACAAGACTATGAACAAAGTATTAAATCTAAATATCTCGTGGCCAAGGCAAAACCAAGACTGTGAACAAAGTACAAAATCAAAACTCTCTTACGAGGCATAAACGGAGGGGCAAGGCAAGGTTTGATGGCAAGGTAAAGTTCAGTAAAGTCATATGACAAACAACAAATGATGAAACTCACTGGCCCAAGACAAGGGGAAACGAGGAGTATTTAACACATGAGGGAAGGGAACCCCAGGTGTACACAATAGGTAATCGAGGACATGTGACACACAGGGGAGTTTAGGTGGCCTGACACAAGGGGATGAACCTTTCAAAATAAACCAGGAAATGACAAGACAACCATGGAGACAGGACAAAACACCCAAAATTCCCCCAGACGTGACAGCAGTTACTGCCTCACCGCCCCAGTGTCCCGCCACTGTCTACAGAAGAGCTGAACAAACCCCATCTGGAGCGGAGGGCGTGCACTAAACCTACCGGGGGAGTTCTGCGGGGAGGAGGCAGGTGAGCACCGGGGGGAGAAGCTGAAGCCGGGGTGGATGGGGTGAGGAGGGATGTAAGACATGATTTCCTCCTCAAACAAACTGCGAAAACAGAAGCAGAGGCAGAAAAGAGCCATTTTGATGGAACCTGCACGTTTAAAAGTTGGGTTAAAAGTGCAGAAGAAGAACATCAGTCCACCTCAGCAGGATGACCAGGTCAGCGTCACATGACAGCTTCTCCACTCCCTGAGTACCTTCTGTCCGGACATAGTGGATCTTCTCCCTGGAAAGGAATCCCAAACTCCAGGTCATTTTCACATAATTGCATCTTTCCTTTTTGAACTGGTGTCCTTCTACTGGAGGTTTGGGCCCTACCAAAGAACTATTTTTCTCCTCTGTTTTTTTTAAAAACATGTTTAGATAGTAAATGTGGGATTTTAACCTTAACAGCTATTAACATGTTTAGCTAGAACTATATTTATGCTTGTGATGGAAGTCAAATCTTCACAATTACACTGGTGGACGTATCCCTCTGTATCAGTCTCTGTCCGTGGTCAACTGGGGACTAGCCAGTGTTGGGGTACTTACCTCAGGGCGTGGTTTCTGCTCAGGCTGGGCTGTCGCTCCTGCAACATGTCGAATATGTTTGGCTGTCGAAGGAAGGCCACTATCTTATCATTGTAAGCTGGAAGGGGACACAGAGAGGAGAGGTGTTCGGGTCAGTGCTGCGCTGAGGTTCTGGGAGGAGCGGGCTTTAAGGGCAGAGCCTACATGGAGCGGTCAGCTGCTGTGGGTCAGCGTGGTGCTGGCCTCGGATGGCTGCTACCAGGCTGTTTCCGGGCCGGGCCATCAGAGAAGCTCCGCGGCTCCGGGACACCTCGGACGCCTGAGAACAGCGAGGACACACATTTCAGACCACCAGATGCCACCAAATCCCTCCAAAAACAGAAGCGTCCTAACGTCTGACCGGTCTCTTTCATTACTTTTTCATTCCTACAAGAGCTGCCTTCCCTAACTTATCACACAGCAAGGAAGTGAGGTAGGACTTTTTAAACCAGCTCTACAGCATGCCTCCATGAACTCAACACACACACACTCACACAGGTAGATGATATGTACTATGCAGAGCCCTGGATTATCGTTAGCCGCTCCGGTTGGTGCCGGACAGGTCACTAACGGACCGGCCGACAGCCCTACCGGGACACGGGTGGGTTACCTCTCCAGCGCTGTAGCTGCGCAGCCTCTGCAGGTGCTGCCGGTGGGCCAGGTGACCGGGCAGCCGGCCGTTCTGCAGCGGAATCCGAGGGTCGATGAAAGTGGTGGCTCGACTGTTGTGATCCACATAAAAAGACTGCAGACACAAACAGGACTGGAGTAAAACAGTGTCCAGGAACCGGTACAAAACAGGAACAAAAACAGGTGATACCCCCGGTCTGCTCTGGTGGGAACCAGGTGATACACCCCTCTGATAAAGTCAGTGGTCAGTAATGAAACCCCTATGACTGAAATAATCTAGAAACACAAGTTCAGGGCTGGTTCCTGTTTAGTTTGGAATGAATTCTAATCCCACCAGATCAGAGAGGAGCTGAATCCTAAGTTTAAATCAATCGCCTTCACTGCCTTCTGCTCTGCTTACACACCTTGAATATCCTATCTATCCCATTTGAATGCAGCTTGTTGACTCGATTAAGACTCAAACTCTGCAAACGGATGTTGGACTCCTACCAAAACACCCCGGTAGCTCTAACTTAAGCCCCCACTACTGAACACATCCAATATAAGTCACTGTTTAGCTTCTGTAAATATACAGATTTGAAGTTTGTATCCAGTATGTTGATGTGATTTGCTTGTTTACAAAGGCAGTGGATAAGAATATTTTCAAAGAGACCTCTGGCCATCCAGCAGCTCACACCCAGAGCTTTAAACCCTGACATGGTGATGGTCTTTGTCTGATCTGCTCAGCTAGCATGCGGCAGCTCTGGCTATCAGGCACCCGTTTAGGTGGGCGGGGTGTCCCACCTTTCCCTGAGGGTCGGTCTTGATCTCCCAGCCTCTGGGCAGCTCCAGCTGCGTGTCTGCGAACTTGTTGAGGAAGACCACTAAGTCCCGGTTGTGCTGGTAGCGTTCGAAGTTCCTGGCATCGCGGCGCACCTTCAGGATCATGTGCTTCACACAGCTGCTGCTGGTGAACATCCGGTAGGCCGCCTGTGGGGGGGGGGACAGTCACAGTACAGCTGAGAGGAACCACGGAGAACAGCAGTGAGGTGAAACAGAGCAGCCTAAACTCCACCCGGCCAGAGACTCCGTGGGAGGAACACTCACGTAGTTGCTGTGCAGCACAGTGAAGAACTCGGGGTGTGTGATGAACTTCACGGCCGGAGACTGGAGGAGATGGCTGATCTTCTGGTGATTGACGGGGGAGGAGGGGGAGGCGGGTGAGGCGGGGGATGCGGGCGAGGCCGGGGAGGTGGGGCCTGCACACGGACAAAAGATCAACCAGCAGCTTTTGGTGGAGAGAAAACAGAACTGTAAACTTCCCACAAATGTCAAAAGGTGCCGTCACACTGGACAGTCTTAGTGGACCAGCAGCTTAACCCGGTGACTCCATACGGGTCACATTTTCTGAAATGTTTTGCATCTTTTCATCATTTAGAGGTAAGAACTTTGCTCTAAACCCTGTTGTGCACAGTCAGATATACCTGATAACAGCAGGCAGAAGAAAACACCACAATCATTTTGACTTATATCTCACCGTAATAAATGATGAATATCCAAACATGATATCTGATTACTGTTAAAGGGCCAATTAAAGACTTCAAAATTTTCCTTTGATTAACTGAAACCTTCAACAGTAGAATGTCACATAAGTATTTTATGAACCCTGCAGACGTAAAGTCATTACATCTCTGTAGATGTTCCACTGCGTCCCATAGGGAGATGCCTTTAGGTGGCTTTACATATTTAGATGACTTTATATGTAACCTTACCACAGTAAATCCAAATAAAGATGTCGATGACGAGAAAAAGAGGTGAAAGTATTCTATAAATAAACTTCATATGTACGTCTGATTTTCTAAATCTATTTAGCCACAATTTATGGTTACAGTTTTCATATATATGTAGGTAGTAGAATTAATATTTTTTATATTTACTTTAATATCAAAATGTCAGTGCTTTGCTTACACACTAACTTTGACGTGTCATACATTTTTATTCAGTGTATCAGAAGTTTTCTGTTCTTTCAGAAGCTGTTCGGCTGAATTCATTTCATGGGCAGGTCCACAGATGATACACACAGCAGCAGGCTAATATGAGCATGCACATGAAGGTCACGCCACAAGCTCAAACTTTTTTATGTTCCCAGGACATAAAGCCACAAATCAATATCTATCCAAGAGCCGATGAACACAACTTAAATGTATTAAAGATAAAAAATGTGAGAAGCCCCATGACTAGGTGCTGCAGTATCACATCATACGATTTCACATCACACCGCACGGTTACAAAGCTTTGCATCAGACTACAGACGTGAGAAGATCAGAGATAAGAATGAAAACAGCTCAGTGGCCCCAAAATGTGCAGAGCCCCTCCACAGGAATGAGCTCTTTGATGTGTGGTGGATCTGAAAAAGAGCTGACTTTGTGAGAGGACAGGGAGGAGTACCTGTCTGAGCACAGTCCGAGTCCCCGTCTGAACTCCGGCTCCCACCGTCCTCCTCTGTGGCCATGGTCCTCTGGATGTTCTGGTACCTGCAGGACCAGTAACAGCTTCAGGTTGGGCCATCAAACATGAAGACATCCCATTTCGGAATAGGGATAGACTACAGCATTCACAGTTTGATGAGCGCTTTCCCTGCAGTGCACCTCTTACTAACCACATGCTTTGTAATGGGGGGGGTGGTTTCAGTTCTCTTTCCAGACACCAGGTGTCAGCCTGAGTCCAGTCTCAATAGATTTTGAGCATCTCTTTGAAGCCCTTTTAATCTTTGGTCACTTTTTTAAAGCTTCATCATTTGAATTTTATAGTCCTTGTACATCTGTTTGCAATGTTGAAAATGACAGGAACGATTTACCTTATAATTACATACATGTGTCATATCTTTTGAAATGTTTATTGTAAAATGTTTTCTAAAATGTACTCAGCTGTTCGTGTGTCGTTTGGGATGAAAATGTCTGCTAAATACATAGATGGACGTTTTATTAATCTTTTTGAAGATCAATTTTGACTCATGGATTCATGGTTGTTTATGAATGAGTAAATGTAGTAAATCATGAAAATATGAACATTAGTTCATTTAAATAATAATACTTGTTGAAAAGATTCAAATCAGTGAGAATGAAGACACGTCCAGTTGTAGGATGTGTCTGGATTTTTTCTGGTTGTGTATCTCTGGTTGTGGGCCTTTGGTTGTTTGTCTCTGATTGTGTGGTTGTGTTCCTCTGGTTGTGTTCCTCTGGTTGTGGGCCTCTGGTTTTGTGTCTCTGGTTGTGTGTCTGGTTGTATGCCTCTGGTTGTGTGTCTCTGGTTGCGTGCCTCTGGTTGTGTTCCTCTGGTTGTGTGCCTCTAGTTGCGTGTCTCTGGTAGTGTCTCTGGTTGTGTTCCTCTGGTTGTGTGCCTCTGCTTCTGGTTGTGTGCCTCTGGTCGTGTTCCTCTGGTTGTGTGTCTGGTTGTGTGTCTGGTTGTGAGTCTGGTTGTGAGTCCTGCGTAGGCTGACCTGCGGTTGAGCTGCTCCATCTGCTGGGTGGATCCTGAGCGGGGGATGCCGTGGCTACACTTGCCGGTGTGACTGGGCCGCTGCCACGTGGTGGTCCGGTTCACGTGGTCCACGTAGAAGACCCGGCCGTGGCTGTCCACACGCGCCTCCCAGTCTGTGGGAACAGAGGGGGGGGGGGTGAGTCACACTGCTCCCTGTTAGGAACGTGCACATCAGTGTCCCCCCAGTCAGGCAGATGAAAACAATCCTGTTTGTAGACATCATTTACCCTAAAGACATACAAAAGTATACTTAGTAGACTTACTACAGGCTAATTCAACACTTGATCATCACACTGTTCAAAAGCTAAATGCACCTCATGTACCAGTAAAACAGAAACCAGTCCTAATGATTACTCGGAACAACGGTATCCATCTTATGCTCCTGTAGAAACCTTCTGCTGACAGCCTGCTGCTCTCCCTGCTTCTTTTGTCATCCTCTTCAATTTGTGTTTTTTTGCTGACACCATTTTTGATATTTGGATGGTACATAGATGTATGTACTGGAAAACTGTCTATCTGTTGTGGCAGCTAAATGAGCTTTCCTGGGCTCAGGTAATGCCTGGAATAAGAGCCCAGAACCAGCAGGTTCATGTTGTGGATGTGGAGCAGAGACAGGTGACAAAGAGAAGCAGGTTTAGTCCCTTGACTAAAAAAGGGAGTCCAAGATTATAGTTAGAGACAATGCTCAGGCTTAAAGTGCTGACAAAGACAGATGAGGAATAGAAAGCAAAGATATGGCAGCAGGAACAGCTCAGAGAGCTCTGTGCCCAGCTTTACCCCATCTGGGCTACAGAGAGGGAACAGGAGAGGAGCTGGACGGCAGACAGAGGCTGGACTCCTGGACACTGAGAAGGGGGGCAAGCTAGAAGTGACACGCGTTTGGATTACTGCAACTCGCTATTATCAGGCTCTTCGAAAAAGTCCATTAAGACTCTCTAGCTGATCCAGAATGCTGCAGCACGTGTTCTTACAGGAACCAGTAACAGAGATCATATTTCTCCTGTCTTGGCTTCTCTGCACTGGCTTCCTGTTAAATCCAGAATAGAATTTAAAATCCTTCTCCTTACGCACAAAGCTCTTCATGGTCAGGCCCCATCTTATCTTAAAGAGCTCTTAGTACCTTACTGCCCTACCAGAGAACTGCAGGGTTACTTGGGGTTCCTAGAGTCTTGAAAACTAGAATGGGCGCCAGAGTGTTCGGCTATCAGAGTCCTCTTTTGTGGAACCAGGTTCCAGTTTGGGTCCGGGAAGCAGACACCGTCTCTATATTTAAGAGTAGGCTTAAGACTTTCCTTTATGATAGAGCTTATAGTTAGGGTAAGTCCACCCCTGGTTGTGCTGCTATAGGCCTAGTCTGCCGGGGGATTTCCCATGATGCACCGAGCTCCCCTTTCCTTTCTCTCTCTCCCTCCCGGTCCACTTCATTCCATTAACAATGTTACTAACTGGACTCTCTCCTTTCCCCGTAGTCGTGTGCTTTCTCGTCCCCCTCCTCTCTCCTCCTATCACAAATGTGTATCTTAAAATTATGTATATATTGCTTATGCACATGAGAATGTTAACAATAAAAAAGGGGTATTGAGGTTATGATGGCTTAAAATGTCTGTGCTGGACAGACACTGTTTTTATCTTCTTGGATTATTTGTAAACAGTGACAATGTTTTGATTATATTTAATAATAAAACTGAAAGAAACTGCAGAAATATAATTCACGATTTGAGAATAATAAAATATTGTTGACTTTCTCATTTTCAGAATGTTCGGCAGTAGCCTTTATCCAGTCAGGAGAAGGGACGGAAGGCCCGGCCTCCTGACTGTAATGTGTGTCAAATCCCCCACCTGAGTGAGTAACTAATCCCTTTAGGCTGTGTCTAATGCCCTTCATTGGAGAACACCTTGATTTTCAAGTACTTTAATCCATGCTAATATAGAGAACTATGGACCAAATAAATGGATAATCTATCCATAAGGAAATAACCTGCCTTAGTTATGAACATAGTGTGTAAATTCTGCAATACAGAGCACAGTGCACGAGTCTGACAGCCACCTGATAAATACTAAAGAGGAAATGAGCAGTTCAGCACAGCTCAGACCAGTGCAGGTCACTTCCTGTTTACGTCTCAGCTACTTCAGGCTGCAAATTATCCTGATTTTTATTGACCAATAATGATATGTCTGGGGATGCTAAAACTAGTAATTCCATTAGACTTGCTGCTCGTCGGTAGGAACACAGATACTGATTTCAATTGAAAAATACCTCAAACACAAATAAATCGTTGCAATGTTTCCTTTCAGTCAGGTTGACGGAACCACTGTATTTTTTGCCGAGCTCAGCAACAACTTTGACACTACCATGTTCATAAAGTTACACAGAGACAACTGAATTTACAGCCAAGGCTCTTAATTCAGTATTCAAAGTTTCATCCACTCTTAAAAAACTGCGGGTCAAACCTGATTCCCGTGGCACACGTGCCTGAGCACTGACAGCCGTGTGGGTCTAAATATTAAAGTCATTTGTGGATTTAAATGTAAAAAGATGAAAAACCACGATCAGTGCATTCAGTAATGGCGGTGCAGTGTTTCTGTTTGCCAGTTTTCTAAAGGATTCGATAACTACCCAAACCCCCAAATCCTCCAAAGCTTCACATGGGAAACTATTTCTCTCCCTCAGTTAGGATTAAGAGCCAGAGAGAGTTACTGGGTTTTTAGCTGGACTTTGTTCCACACCATCCATCCATCCATCCTTCTGAAGTGGCACAGTTTAGGGATCTCCTCTGGATTATGATGTAATGATATTTTGTATGAGCAGAGACCATGACATCCTAAAACAACCAGTGAGAGACCGAGCTGGTCTGAGCATGTTCGGAGGAGGACCGCGGCCATGATAGCACAGAAAGAGAAGATGGAATGGGTTTGGAAAGCAGGCAGACGGTGAGGGCAGCATGCACACAGACAGCCATATTTCCAGCACACCAAGTGAGACTCCAGAGTAAGACTGGGAACGTTGGTTCTTACTTGGAGGTAAGGCTTGGTCAGTGGCAGCAGGAAAATGGTTTAGGTCATGGCTGGGCCGCAGAACTGGAAGATGGCCAACGGGAGGGGAGAAGCCTGAGCCTACAGGACATCAGAGAGATAGTAGGGGATGGATTACCACCAGGTCCACCGGTCCTACACCAGCGGCCTGAGGAGGAGCTAAAGATCACAGCAAGCAAAGGACGTGCACACAGTCTATCAGTCAAAGGCCAGAGAGGCTGTACTTGAACACCAGTGATCTTTCGCTAACATTAACTCAGTACTGGGGGAGAGTGGGCATGTGGGGGCAACGGAGGAGGGTGCTAGCACCCGCTTCTATCAAGCTAGTGATGAAGAATGTGGCCGTAAACTGGAGCTGTTTGATGAGCAGCACAATGGGCTGCAGGCTGCACACATCCACATTCTTGGGGAGGAAATCAACCACCCGGCTGGTAACCGATTAATTCCCTGCATGAAATTAGACCCGACTTCTCACACACAACAGAAACATCTGCTTTGCTGTGACCTGCAGTCCTGAACGTTTGCCATCACCGCTGATATTCACAGCGTTTGCCAAAGCCCTGAGCGCCCAGCCTCCTTCTGAAGCGTCTCACAGCTTTTCTATCACTTCAACAAATTCAATTTATGCCAGAATGTGTCATCTGAATGAGGAAGTAGTTTTAGTGTGGACTGAAAAGGCTCAGTATCAGACATCAGATGTAGTCCGGGACAATGCTATCACAAAAAAAACACAACACAGATAGGTGTTAAATGTCTTTAACAACCAACCCATTGTTGTTTTGACTAAAATAGTTTTATATAATAAAACTAACACTTATTCTGCTCTATCTAGGAAGAACCACATAAATAAGCATAGAAATCTCTGAGTCTGTCCTCCGTCCATCCTCTGTCTAACTGAGACATGTTAACACACGCTTTGTCTACAACAACTTTTCCAGGAGCCCATTGTTTGAAGCCCTCTAACAGGTGCATGATGCATAAATGTTGTGTACGGTTGTGCCTTCAGAAAGCGACAGAGTGGATGCTGGGGGAAAGCAGACGCAGTAAACAGCACTTTAACCCAACAGAAGCAGTAACCAGTGAGGCTGAGGCTTCATAGTAAGGCACGGTGCCGAGTTCCTGGTTCACAATAAAGGGAACTGAGGAGGCCAGGTACTGGACCTGGATGGAATCTTTTGTGTATCTTTAACTGGGATGTACCTTTTGGCCTGTTGGAGCCTTTAGATGGTAGACCTCCTTAAACCTGCTTATCTGTTTACAGATAATGTACTGTGGAATTCAGGACAGAATCAGTCCATGTTTTGTTTTGGATGTGTGTAACAAAATGCAATCTATCAACTTAAATGTGTGGAATTCTTCAGACAACATTTAGACTAATGCACATAACATGCACATACATACATGAACACATTACACAGAGTTGGTCCACCTCTGTTTTAGTTGCCTTCTGTCTAAAATGTCATCACCTATCTACATTTTCTTTTAATAACTTTAATTGCATGACAAAGCATGAACACGAGTGGAAAGAAAAAGAAATCTTGTCTTCACATCTTCACAGAATAGCTCATTATTGTTGTTTTCTATCTTTTAAAACACACAGAACAATTGGATTCCCACTAAAGCTGTTGTCCAGCATGAGCCAGAGAAAAGTGCAACACTTTTCCATAAAAATAACCCTTTGCAGTGACGCTTCCTCTGCAGACATCCTTAAATAGCTGCAGCTCCACTTCTGACACGACATTACTCATTCTCTACCTTGTTCACTCTGCTGCTGTTGGCTTCAGACAAAGTTTCCATCGAGTAGGACCAGAGTCTCGTTTCCCTTAAACCTACACCTGTCCTTGTGTGCATGGGTAGTTTTAAGCCTTAAAATTTAAGGTGTCTCCCACACAGGGACACACAGCCGGAGACTGGCAGAAGCTAGGAGGATGAAATGTTAGACTTTATTTTCACAAATCACACAAGCCATGTGCTGTTAGCTTAGATGCTCTGTGAGCATGTGTGCGTGTCCTACTTTTCTATGTTCTAATAAACTACATAAACCTGTGAAGCAACAACCTACAGATCCAGAGAGGTGAAGCCAGTCTCTCTGCAGACCATATAAAAGGCCAACAGTGGGAACCAAAATCATGTTTTCTGCTGTTAAAGAACATGAAACATGTCTCCTTTATACAACTCGTATTGCAGCATGATGCTTATGAAACAGCCTCATTACTCGCTCACACAGCTCGGCTCCCTGTTTTACTGATATTAGCAGCACACAGTAGAGGGCCCTGATCCACCAAGATCACCACTGACCGGCAGACAGGTCAGGAGCAGCATTATCGAGTGTGTGGTGAGTAAATCTGTCAGCCTGGTTAATCTGGAGGATTGGTTGATGGTTGATGGTGACAGAAAGCTTTTGGTGAACGTTCAACAGATCACACACTTTCTTCTCATTGTTCATCTTCATTCCTCCACAGCTAGTAAACCTTCACAGCAACAGACCAGCTGACCATCAAGCTCAGAGGAGACCAGCTGGGTCAGCTTCTTTGGTTTTTAACCACCGGGGGCTTGCTTGAATCTGACCACTCCTTCAGCAATAGCAGGTTAATATTGTGTGTGTGGGTGTCCTGACTGCCAATCAGAGGCCCTCCCCGCTCTGATCTGCCTCCATGGGTTGTCTGGTTTGTTCTGATGCTGGAACGTGGAGGGACTGAGCTTGGGTTGCCTGGCTCCTCAAGTCTAACCCTAACCCTAACCCTAACCCTGTTTGAGCCCCTCATCTCAGGACAACAGAACTGCAACCCCGAAGCAACAGCCATGTTGATCCATCAAAGCCATAATTCACCATTAAGCCCCCCCAAACAGACAGCTAATGTTTGGAGCTCAGGTCAGAACCTGCTGTGTTTGCTAGCATAGTGGCTAACTGGACCTGGTCACTGGATTTGTAATCACACACTACAAGTTTCCAACAGCAGCGTAGAGCTTCCCACGCACCTGCCTGTCATATTCTGCCTCATGGAAATGTATGGCTTCCACTTTTTGGACGTCTTACTTAAACAAGCAGAGGTGTTTTACTAATGTGTGTACTATATCATGCACCATCCAGCAGGCTGAAAAACAGAATGAAGCCGACAGGAAGGAGGACGAGGACCCTCACCGATGCCGTTTCTATCACTGGGCCCGGCCACCGCCGGCTCCCCCTGCTCTCCTCTCCGGGCCTCCTTCCACCTCCCCGTCCTCCTCTCCCCTCCCGCCCGGCCCGCCTCCTGCCCCTCGGGCTGGTTGCCGTCGGCGACCGCCTCGAAGGCGCTCTCCTCGTCCTCGTCCTCGTCCTGGGAGGAGAAGACGGTGCTGCCGGACAGCCGGTTGCTGTCCACCGAGGAGAGGCGGTTGTGGCTGCAGACGCGGCCCCTCCCGTCGTAGCCCGAGTGGCTGTAGCAGGAGGTGCTGTAGCAGGAGGTGCTGTAGCAGGAGGTGCTGTAGCAGGAGGTGTCACACAGCTCGCAGTCGGCCTCGCCGTGGGGCCGGTGGCTGCCGCGGCTGCAGAGCCTCTTCCCCCCCCCGCTACTGGAGTCCCCCTCCTCCCCCTCCAGGCAGGAGGGGGAGATCCTCCTGACCGCGGCCGGCCCGCACCTCCCCCCCTCCCCCTCCAGGAGCTGGTTCAGCTCGGACAGCCGCTCGATGGACAGGCTGCGGGGCAGAGAGCGCCGGCAGCAGGGGCCCGGGCATTCTGGGACCTGCGGGACCACAGGGAGGGGGGCACAGACCGGGGTTAAAGTGACTCCATTCAGGCCCGACCGGTGGGGCTCCGCTAGCAGAGATTAGCATGTTTCTGGTGTGTGTCCTACCTGAGACGGGGACTGGGTCGTGTCCTCCTCCTCATCCTCCTCCGGCCCCTCGTCCTCCTTGGAGGTTTTGATGGTTGGTGCTGAGTCCACAGACCCCCCCGTGTCCGGGCCCTCCCCCGGCGGCTCCTCCTCCTGGCTGGGGGGCCTCTGCTGGGCGGAGGGGAGGCTGTGCAGGAGGTGGTGGATGCGGATGTAGTGGGAGCGGGGGGTCTCGGGCTCCCCGCAGGCCGAGGCGATCACCGTCTCCAGCTCTGACACGGGGAGCGAGCAGGGCCGGTTTTTACGCCGCAAGGGAGCCTGGGAGGTGTAGTTCGAGAAAAGGGAATGGCAGGAGCAGGGAGCACAGCTCCGCCCTGCCTCCTCTGGCTCCTCCTGCGGGGCCCCCTCCCCCGGGCCCTCTGGGGGGCCCTCTGGGGGGCCCACAGGTGTGCAGCTCCCCTCACTGGCGGCCCCCCCAGCAGCTGCCCCTGCGGGCGGGTCACAGGCGGGCTCTGGCTCTGCGTCGCCCCCCGCCTCTCTTTGCTCTGGCATCTCTTCTCCCTCTGCTCCGGGAAGGCTTTCTGCTCCTTGCTCCTCTTCCTCTCTCCTCTCCGGGCTCTCCTCCTCTCCAGACACCTCCCCCCCCACCCCGCTGCTCCCGTCCTGCTGGTCAGCTGAAACCTCCTCCTGCTGCTCCACGTCCGGCGGAGAGGTGGGGGGTTCCTCCCTCTCCATGCCCCCCTCCTGCTCCTCCTCCTCCTCCTCCTGCTCCTCTTCCTCCTCCATGGTTCTTGGCTCCACCTCTGCCGTTGCCTCATCTTCCTCCCTCTCAGCAGGGGGGGCTTCCTCCTGCGGGGGTGCTGGTGTCTCAGTGTCCGGGGGGCCGTCCAGGGGGAGCTCCGGCATGTCGGGGCCCACGCTCAGCGTGTCGTCCTCCTGCCCCCCCGCAGCGTGGTCCACCTCCGCTGCGTTAGCTAGCTCGGCGCAGGCCTGCTCGATGACCAGGGACAGCTCTTCATCATCTGCAGACACATGCAACAGGTCATCAACCACTGCCGTCACAGGGGGGGGGCTTCAGCCAATCGCGGCTGGATTCACAGCCCCAAAAATCATCAAATACCTCAGCCACACAGTGAGGTTTTCTATTCAAATCTAGAGGGGTATGTTTTCATCTGCTAGTCAGGGGGAGCAGATTGTGTCTTCAGTTTGTGTGAGCTTTATTTGTGAAGCAGTTGTGCAATAAGTGGAAAAACTGGGACTTATGTCAGGCTTTGAGATGAATGGGGACCTCACCAGACTGGCATTCCAGCCGCTAATAACTAGCACAGACATAAAACTCTAACCAAACATTCCCCGGAAAAAAACAAAAAAAAAACCCTGGTATGACCCTAACAGACACTGATTCGAGGGGAGCAGGTCCTAGTCGGGGTGTGTGTCTCTGGGCTGGGGGACACTGGCCGTACCTGGGTGGATGGAAGACGCCAGCTCAAAGCGGAACAGCAGCTGCCCACAGACGTGATCCGTCGGTAACCTGCGGCCCAGGGAGTAACTCACCATCCTGTCCCTGCAGATCACACAACCAGGAAGAGTCAAACCGGAGTTGGAGGGGGGGAACGTAAAAGAAGAGACAGCAGCCAGGAGAACACTCAGTACAAAAGTAGACGGCCCGGCGGATGCTGCATTCAGATGAATATTTAAAGGAGGCAGAACTACAACACAGTTAACTTCAAACATTTTGTAGGAGGACTCCCGGAGCTCCACAGACAGCAGCAGCTACTCAGAGAGATGACGTGGCGTTGTTTTACCCGATGGCGTGTTTCTCCAGCAGCCTCTGGACGGGGACGGAGAGCTTCCCCAGAAAGCGCTTGATGATCGGACGACTTTTGGCAAACTTGTCCTTCACCTCAATCTCCAGAACATCAGTGGGCAGAGACACGAAGCTAAAACTCTGCAGAGAGAGAGGGGCACAGAGGAGAGCCAATCAGAGGGCTGCAAAGCCCCTGGGTCCACCACAGGGTCTGTCAAGGGAAAATACTTTGGAAAACACCAGGGACTAAAACAGTTATTCAGTAGAACGTGGTTTGGATGAAGATAGAGTTAAGCACAGGGAAATATTCATGCAGAAAAAGGAACTTTTCTGTTGGATTCATATGGCTTTTAGAAGCAGTAAAAAGGGCTGCAGCTCTTTTTTAGGTGCTCAGACACAGAG